AGAGGGAAAGGGGAACGAAAGATATCGCGGCCGATAAGAATAAGAATGTAGGACGAAACTAGCAGGTGATCGTCGTGGGCATCGCCGTGCCATGCCGCGTCGAGGTTCGTGATTTCGTGACGCGGTCTAGGAACAATAAACAACGTCGCTGCTCCCCGAGCTCACGAGGAAAAGTTGCACGGGAGTGAAAGTGCATCTCGACTCCTCGAGACCGCATCCGACAGCGTATACGTTTCGCAGCCTGGATCGTGAACCGGAACATTTCGCGAGATTTTGAAACGTTCGACGTTGGAGGTTGCGATGCGCGACTCGCGGTTAGTGCCGCGGTTTAATTGCGAGACGGTATAGGTTCGAGATCGCTTCCTCGTTCTGGTAAAAAAAGTGACAGGAATCTCGGTAAGAAGAGACTCCGGTCGAAACGAACTCGTATAAGCAACGTAATTATCTCTTTGCTTTTTTCTCGCATCAGTCTTGGTCTGGCTACTCTCCGGAGACCACCGTCAAAGTGGCTCCATTTGCGGAGTCACTTCGCTCGAGACGTCTAATCACACTCTCCCCGTGGAACATCTCTCAAAGTTCTCAATGAGGAAGAAAAATGCCGTGCGTCGTCTGAATTTACCTACAAAATCATTTCCTCTAAGCGAGGTAATCAGACTCGTCCCGGGCACTACATTTTTTCTCGTCAATTAGCATCGATGCCACCTATAAAGTTTGTATCGCTGGGGTAAATCGTGGAACGTTGGAACGATCGAACCAGTACGAGCAATGACACCGCGTCGAAGCTTTGGAGACGCGTCGATGGAAGTGTCCTCGTCGGACGATGATTCTCCTTACACGCGAAACACGTCCGCTCGCGTGTGGTTAACCGCGCGGCGTAGCATCGGGGCGCCGTCGCGTCGCCTCGCGTCGATGCTAATCTTTTGACCGACGATTACTCCGACAAAACGACAGCGTTGAGAGTAACGCGAATCAAACGCGAATCGGCTAAGGCTAACAAGCATCCGTGGCACGGGACGCGTTCATTAAAGACGTCACCGTTTGAGTCGCGAGCTTCGATTCTCGGCGGACGACGAACTGTCATGAGACGAGTTGCGCGTGGAATTACCTAGAAAGGTTCCCTATTTTTCAACGTTCCTTCACGACGTTCGTCATCGTCGGGAACCTAGCCTCGGTCGAACCGGTTCGTTGAATTATCGTCACGCATCGGTCTTTATACTATATTTTCCGGTCTGTGACTAGCGACGTCTGCTATTTAGATTCGTTTACTTTGGGAGAGCACTGATTCGCTCGTGTCTCGAAATCCAGGAAATGGAAACTACTTTGTTCCTGCCATCGCGTGGTACGTGCAGGTACACAGTTGTCTTTGGCAACCAGAGAAAAGCAATCGCGACAGGGTTCTTCCACGATCGACAAAAGCTTGCGAAACTTCGCTAGATGAAGTCTCGTTTAAGGATGTGTTGGCTATACAGTCAATCCCAAAAGTTTATGTACCTTAGAAAAACGCATTTCCTATAATTAAAAAGAAATCAGACGTCGGAAGAACAATGCTAATAATAAATAGCTACGTGC